TGGGCAAATGAATAAATGACAAATAGATAAAAGAAAGAGAGAAATTGGGAAATTGATAATATGAAAAATAAATAAATTAAAAATTGGTTTAATGAAAAAGCTAAATTATTTATTTAACAAATTTTTTATTTATTTCACTCATTTACTTCATTTTTTGATTTATTTTACTCATTTTTTATTTATTTAACCCATTTATTTATTTATTTAATTTTGGCGCAAATGGCTCTCCATACCTTTGTACAAGACGACATGAAAATGCATATCCTCTGATTACTCTTTAGCCAGAATAGCGAGCGCTCCTCTTCATCTGCTACAGCTGAGGAAGCTTGGCATGAATAATTACCTCATGAGTGACTCACTCTGGTTCCACGAAAGGAAATGTGTCGTGCCTTTGACCCGACCCAAAAATGTCACTTCCTGTCGCTCGCTATTTCCGCTTTTCGTCTTTATTTCAAAGCTCCGGCATTTTCTGCCAGTGTTGGGAGAGAAAAAAAAAGAAAAGAAAAAAAAAAAAAAAAGAAAAACTCTGAAAACAAAGATGGTAGGGTTGGTTTATGTGGTTTTTTTTATTTATTTTTTATGTTCAGTTAACAGGCCAGTCATGTTTTTATTACACGTACAGTAATAAGAGTTGTTTACATTCATTCCTGGGATCCATTCAGCAACAGAAAAGAAAAAAAAAACAACACAGATGGAGCTTTTTTTTTAATAATTGGTCTTTGTTTTTTAACACAAAATTTAACACATTCGTAAGGAAAACACTTTATATTGTGTTAATCACAGAGCACCTTTGTGAAAACTGTGTGTTGCTTTCTTTATTTATTCATTCACCAAAAAGGAAACACAGCTAATTGTTTTTTGTTTCTTTGTTTTTGTTCTTTTTTTTTGGCATTCAGGAGGAAAAGTACATTTCGGGAACTGAATTTAGCTCTAAGTGTGCGATAGAAACAGCAGAAGACACGGAAGCATTAAGCACGTCTCCGACATTAGCGTTCAAACTATCGAGTGACGCGGTTACGGACGTGGGAGGAAAAAGTCAGTGGTTCGTGAAAACTAAACAGGAAATTATACGTCTGAGTTTCTTTCATTCTGCGCAAAACTACGAGCTAGCTTAAAGTTACAAACACTACATTCACAACAGGACGCTTCACACGAGGGGGTGAGGGAAGGAAGCGCGTGAAAAGACGACTCTAGTAAAATAATAACAATAAACTACTAAACTGTTCACAACGCGATGCTTAGAGGAAATGTTCGAGGTGATGACGCGGACAGAGAGACGAGACAGAAAACGACTCTTTTTTTTTTTTTTTTAGTTAGAAAACAAAAGATTATTTTTATTATTACTAATAACCCAGAAGCGACCTGGTTCTAATCAACCAATCAACAAGCGGCATTAACGGTGAAGTCAGCGGTACTTGCACCGGCCTGGACCCTCAGCTGATCCCAGGACCGCTTCCGGGTCTTAGCCACCTCTCTGTTAGAAACCCGACAAAGACAAGACTGGGAAATAAAATAAAATAAAATAAAACTTAACCCGAACACACAGGAAGAAATAAGATCATTCAGGCTGGCACACGTTGAGCGGCTTCAGGATCTCAGATATTTCACACTGGTACACACTTTGCACGACACTTGGCGGTAGGGAGGAAGAGGAGGGCGAAGAAGAGATTGTGTTGCTGTCTTATCAGCCGAATGAGCGTTTGTTTTGGGGGAAAAGAGGGGTAATAGCAAACATTAGGGTGTTAAAAAATAAAGGCAGCTCAGTTTGAGGGGATGACGAGACTTCCTCCTTTTTTCATTTTTTTGGTTTGCACCCTCCATGATGTGCTCTCAAACATCGACCCCCTTGGTGTTGGAAGGGTTGTTTTGGGGGGACTTCAGCGTTTGGCTGGGGAGGCACTCCTGCTACCCTGTGAACCAAACAACACAGAGATCAGCACACATGAGCAAGAGATGATCTCTAATCTGATGTTAGTGGTCTGCTCCATTTTCTCCAGCTCTGTGGTCAGTTTCCGGAAAGGTCTGCCATGGCATGCGAAAGGAAATGCAGGTGATTATTGCGAGCAAATGATTCCTGCTGATGGGGAATGTTGTTTAGAGTTATCCCCCCAACAAAAGAAGAAGAAGAAGAAGAAAAATCGCTGAGTCTATAATTGCTTCCCGAAGAACACGTTTCTCTCTGGTTCATTAGTTCACTCATCAAGCCTGAGAGCTGAGCTCAAATGTCATTGAGTTGCTCTCTCATCTTTTCGGCTGTTATCTGCTCTCCATGTAAATGAGATTATGGGACCACTGCGCAGTCGGAGTATTTACATACGCTGCATGTTAAACCGTAGCTTTACTGTCTGACGTTAAATCGAGCAGGTTAGTTGTTCCAAGACAAGACTATGATTTTTTTTTTTCTTCTGAGTTGAGTCAAATGTTTTTTTATTTCCTCCTTCCAGCTTCTTGCATTAGTTTGCTGTAAGTTTTTATTTATTTTTTTGCTTTTCTGCACTTACACATCAGCTTTGTTGTCCTTTAGCTACTTCGTAACAAATATGGTGGCATGCTTTGTGTCGTTGCACATCTGGAAGCCTCAGTTGTGCCCAACCCAAAACTTTTCTGCATAATATCGATGCAGTCTATTTTGGGAAGTCACCAGTCCCTCGCTCCGCTCGTTTCAGGCCCTTTTCTTTCCTCTAAACCACTTTTTAATTCTTTATTTTTCTGGGAATAATTTTTATGATCTTAATTCACCAGAAGTTGATTTCTTCTGATTGAATGTCAGACAGTGTGTGTAAATAAAAGTGTTTCCAGCTGAAAACAGGAACAGTTAGCTAGACGTTTTGCAGTTTTCAGAAACTTTCAACCACGTAGACTACGTTTTAAAAGAGAAAAATATCAGTATACCGTGCAACTGGGAAAGATAAAAATGAGTAATATCTAAACCACGGACTGAAGTTTGTTTGATGAGAGGGCGATACATATCAGAGATTTACTTCTCAAAGCCTCGAGATAAAGTTTCTCTTTTTACGTTAGATGTAGCCAAGAGTCACGGCAATACTGCATGCTCAGTAAATAAAAAAAATCATTTAAAGGGTTCAAGGATAACTGTTCCATTACTCAGCCAAAAAGTTTTAAAGAGTGGGCTTTAAATTCCCCCGAGGGAATAAAACGCTGGAGCTGAGGAGGATCTTGCATCGTGTTTCACCATTAAGCTGCTGCGTCAGGATATCTGCTGCATATGCCCAAGATTAATGACACTGAAACCTAATACAAGCTGCTTACCATTCAAGGAAAAACAATGCAGCAACTATTACCCGAGCTGATGCAGAAACCACTGCCAGTTACATTTCAATATTTGATCGCGTACTCCATCTGTCTGTGGACTGCAAACAAAAGCCCCCGTCAAACGGGGACCGGTCCAAAATGAGCGCGTCTGCATTATTTGGGGCCACAAATCAAACCCCTTTTGTCAGGCCAGATGTCCGAGGAGAGACGATATTATCTGTCGTAATTATATTCCAGAAACAAAGAGACAGAATGAATTTATTAATTGGATTAGAGGAGTTGTTTAGACTGTGAAAAAGACTTCTGGAGCCGTTTGCCTGCGGATGAGACATTTTGGTTTAGCAACATTATATGGAATTAGAAAAAAAAAAAGAGCTCTAATTCAGCTTTTGGTGCATCATTATGTAGAAAAGATTTATAGGTGTGCGCTCCTAAATGAATAGATTAGAGTGCTGTACTGAAAATACAAAGCTAAAAGATAAACAAAGTTATCACTTATTACTTTTAATTAAAAAAAACTGAATTAAAACAGAGGCACTGTTCTATTGAAGCTGTTTTAAAATTACTAAGAAGTTTTTCCTAATTATGAGGAAGACCCAGGAAATCTTCTGAAGAGTGAAAAATGATATCTAACTAGGCAAAGATTATTAATTCAAAAGAGAAATCTAACAGAAAGAGCGATAGCGTTTGTGTGAAGTGGATCAACGTATTTGGTTTTATATCGTTTTCAGTCAATAAAAACTTCTCAGCCTCCCTGTTGGTGTCCTTCAGAGTTTCATTTTTCTCATTTTGTGTTTCTCATTCCCTCGAGGCTTTTTTGTTTCCCACGCTCTCACAAAGACGCAAAAGCAACAGTAAGATGCAAGATAGAAACGTTACACAAATGACACAAATCTTTACTGATTTCTTAAGAACTCGATCCACTTCATGGGACGCTCGCTAACTTCTCGCATTAGACCAAAGGGTGAAGGCGCAGCTTTCATTTTAGTCATTTCATCTGGACTCCATTATCTGTCCTGAAGTGGGGTAAAAAAAAGGGATTGAAAAGCTACAGCGCTTTGGAATTAAACCTGCCGCCGAAAAGCTTCAATGAATAGTAATTGAGTGTGAAGCAACAGTCAGGGCTGGAGTGGGCTGCATCTTGATTTGTGTTTTGGGTTATGTGGCAGAAAAGGAATAAATGACTCAAACGCCTCGGAGTCCACACCAATTAGCCGAACTGGAGAGATTTAGAAGACAAAAAATAAAAAAGTCACCCCACTCATCCTTCATCTTCCAGATTTATTTCATATGTTTCGGCTCAGATGCTCAGAGTTTAGCCCCTGATATAAAGATGGAGCCCTTGGGAAATTTGGATTTCTCCCTCCACCCACGACTTGCTAAACCGACGGAGTCGGCGCGGCTTTAACACCGCAGCTTATAAGGAGATTATCTGGAGTGCAGAGAAACAGGCGCTCATGAACTCGACAGGATGACGCAAATGGTAATGATATGAAAAATAGTTTGAATGTTGGAAGACATCGGAGCTGAAGCGTACGCTTTCCCGGTTTGCACTGGTACGTCATTCCAGACTTTAAATCATCCACCTGTGCAAAGTGTCTTTTGGACCTGTCTGCTTTTTTACTCTTGTGAAATGTAAAACATAAAGGCACGATTCAAGAAAGAAAAGCCTCTCTTTATTTGACGAATACATATATTTCATCGTTTGGCACACTGTAATTATTGGCTGACTTGTCCAGGATCAACCCAAACCTTTATGAGAAGCTAACCGTTGCCAGCTAGCTTTACACTCTTGTGTTGATATAGAGCAATTAACAACAAACGGCTTTTAAGCTTTTAGATGCTTTGTGTTAACAATGGAAATCGTTGAGCATCAGATCAAAGTGGTTTTCAGTGGACAAAAGCAAAGTTTGTATTTATTTTGTTTTGTGTGATTAATTAGCCATGTTGATACTTATTAACAGGTTTCTCTATATTTGCCATTGCCTTGACAACCGACAGGATTGGAGTCCATGGACCGAATTGACCAAAATTTTTACGCAGCGCCTGCATGAAATAAATTTGTCTCACAAATTTAGAATAATTAGGACCAAACTATGGCTCACAAATGAAAATCTTTTCACAAAAATGGTAGATAAATGCAAAACATGTATCTTTTAACTAAGCTTTCTGCTTTCTATCCATTGACTTGTACAGTAAAGCAGAAACCTGCTTTTAATTACATTATTAAAACGTATCTCAATACAGCAAGTGCTTTCAGAAGAATAGTGACCTAAATTTCCTTTGTATTGCTGAGAATAGACCAATTATTTTAGTTTTCTTTTTCCAATGGAGCTCAAATTATGAAATTATTAGTAGTAGTATGAAAGTGGTTGCGTCTTTCTTTCAATAGCGAAGAAATGTGTGTTTGAAATGACTAGCATTTCAAACACACATTGTTTGAAATGCTAGCACACTAGCCATGCTAACTTTTATTTTCACTGAAACTACTCTTTCACACACATTGTTTGAAATTGTTTCTGGTGCTTATAAAAACACTCAGCTCAAGACTTGGGGAAACAAAAACTGGACATAAATGTCTGAAAGGTTCATTTTCAAAACGTTCCCCTTTGTGTTTTTGCAAACCAAAAGCCAAAACTTAAATGTAAGAAAAGTGAAACAATGAAATACGTCAAGCATCCTAGCAGCTATTGTAAAAAACAATGAGTACCTGTGCATATCAATACTAGATCATGCACACACATCAACAATGCATAAGCTGCCCCACCTCCTTCACAGTGAAGCAGCAGTGTGTTAGCTGCAGCCAGCCTATATCCTCCTCACCAGAACTGGAAACCCACGTCGTTCGGCGTGATTATATCAGCGACGCCATAAAGCTTAGAAGATACCCAGCGATCAATTGCGTGTCTAAAAGCCTCTCATTATTATGCTTCTGGTTGCTGTAGCGATGACATTATGATGTTTTCCAAGCGAATCAATGCTGAACAAATGCGCAGCGAGTTAAGCGCGAGGAACCCCCTCCATCACACGGTATTTACTCACTTTGCTGCTGATATCATCACTGAGGCAGAAAACGAAAATGGAAAGACAGAGGCAGGAGCATCATTAGGGGAGAAATATATACTCTTGACGCTTTTATAACCAGGAAAAGAAAAGCAGTGAAAGGAAATCATAACTTGGATTTATTAAGCAGTAAAAAACCCCAAAAACAAACAAAAAAAAAGACAGAAGACAGGAGAAAGAAACAAAAAGATTTCTCTTCTTCTTCTTACCATTTTGAAGATCCTAGTCAGGGTGCCTTTGCCGTCCCCAGCGCTGGCCTTCTTGCTTGACTTCTGTTGGCCCTGGAAAAGAAGAGGAATTCAAGTGTGTTAAATAATAATAATATAAAGAAAAAAATAGTATTTCACACATTGTTAAAGGACTGAGATGTGGCTGAACTTTTTTTTTTTCTTTTTTTAAAGAGAGCAGCGGATTGATTCATAATTCAACCCAGAGTTTCAGCATTAAGTAGCGAGAAGGCAGAAACGACTGATCCTTCACTAGAATGTTCTGAAGAGTGACGGATTCGCATGTTCTCCAGCCACTCTGGTTATTGATTAGGGTGAAATCCAACTGTGCCCCGACTTTACAGAATGATTGCATCGCACCCCCCTTTTAACATTTCTGGTGTTTGAATTATTCATGAGTCTGAAGGCTGCGAAGGAGCAACAAAAGTTATAAAAGACTCATGGAGACATAATTAGCTGAGAACTTTTGTGTCCGGTGAAAGATGTTCTCACCAAATTCAACTTTCTGTAATTCCATTATTTGTATTTATTTACTTTTTAGGTGTTCTAATTTATGCAAGGCCATCTGTGATTCCATCAAGGAATCACTTTTTATTGTCAACGAGAGCATGAGTGCATCTCGAGAAATCTGATTATCATCAAAAACCAAATTTATTTCAGTTATTCGAATCAAAAAGTCAAACTTGTGGAATAATTGCACATGGAGTGATTTAGTCAAAAGGTTTATGGCTTACATGTAATGAAAACCTCAAAATTTGGTCTCTTGGAAAATGTGAATATCACATAAGATCAATATATACTTATATATATTAATCCAGAAATGTTGTTAATAAACCAAACAACTGCTAACTTGAGTTTTCCAGCAAATAGCCAGTGACATCGGACACAGGGAGGGTAAGCCACAAAGAAGCAGATGGAGCCGTTTCCAACTACAATAATGGAAAGTTTAGTGGAAGGACAAAGAGGAGGCATGTTTTCTTTGAACATATCAGATCTTGTTTTCGCGATACAGCCATTCTTTTGAGAAATAAGGATATTTATAAGAGTTTTTGGTAACTGATTTACTAATTTTCTAATCTGCAGATGAATATAAAAAAACATTTTTTTGAACCCTGTTTAGGAGTTTGTTTTGGCAGATAACAATTAAGCGACTGTGAATAAAATAGGTGATCGATAACACAGGGTGAAACTAATTTAAATGTGAGCAATAAAGAAACATTTTCCTTTAAAGATGCCAAACATAACCTTCCAGTAGGCAAAAAATAATTATTGTTGGTGATTTCTGAGTAATTCTGTGCCAGACAAGCAAAAAATGTTCAATGAGGCAGTGCAAGCAAAATTTAACTGTACATAAAAAATTTAAATCCATTAATAGATTTATGTATTAATATTATTATTATTAGGATGTAAAATAACCAGGTAACAAGTGCCAATAAATTTTGGACAGCCCCTTAGCAACGTCTCCATTCTTCGTTTAATCCACATCTATCAGTCCGGTGCCACATTCACAATCACAATGGTGTTAAAAGACGTGATGCTGTAGGTGGAGGCCACAGAGGAACCTTTAGAAGGACATAAGTACCATGAAGAAGCGAGTAATGCTGGTATTATCGACAGAGTCGTAATGTGGAAACGTGAGACTGCACCAGTCACAGGGTGACAGTAATATAGTTTCACCAAAGTCTGGGATTAAGGTTTTTATCTGTGATGTATGGGAAGATTAGGAAGACTTAGTGGGGAATGGAAGGCAAACGTAAGAACAGACACTGGCGTCGCGCTCGAAGGTTAATTAAGGAGATGAGGTGATTTGATGTTGAAGGAATGACTCTTTTATTTAAAGACAAAAAAAATTCTGTCTGATCTTTCGGCCATTTTCAAACCACCTACCAGGCCTATCTTGGCAGCTAGTCCCCTCCACTGGGAGTACGGAGAAAGAAGAGACAGAAGGGAGGGAGGGAAAATACAGAAACAGTGTGTTTTAGTGCAAAGGCGGGATGGGGAGGAGATGGGTTGAATAGAGGAAGGCAGAGTTCAGGTGGGACATGGAGGAGCAGGAAAAAAAAACAAAACAATGCAGGTGTTCACATCGAAACGTGATGCATCAGATCACATTGGGAGGGTTTGTATGGATGGCAATAATGATAAAACTTTCTTGCAAGGTCTTTTAAACTGATTTTGATGACAAATATGTGATGGATGCTCTCGAAAACTGATGTAAACCCTAAATGTTTTGTCTCTGTTTGTTCTTTCCTGATTAAAAAAAAGTCAGTTCTCAAGGTCAAGACTTTAGATCGAACCATTTAAAAAAAAAAAAAAAAACATGGTAAAATCTTCCCTCCACTTTTTTCACATTACAATCAAAAACCTCAAATGCATTTTTGTAAAAGGCCAACACAAAGCCTGCTTTTGTTCCTACAAATGTCAGACAAATCCAGAACAACCAACCGGAAATAAATCCAGTCGCACTGTGAAAGTTTTAGAAGTTTATTCCAAAAAATAGCAATATGAAGACATCTGGGAGGTTTCAAATGGTGGCAATCACAGTTTGAGAGCGAGAGAAAGTCAGCAAATTTTTATAGGTTTGATGTTTAATCAAACATCCTAATAAAGAAAAGGTATGGCACGACTGGAAAACCACCCAAACATGGCCGTCCACCAAAATGTAACTGGGCATTTTACAACCCAGAATCAGACAAGAGGCCTGTGGATACTCTGGAGGAGCTGCAGAGACCTCAATAGGGAGAGCCAGAAGAAAACCTGTGAGTCTGTGAAACAGACTCGCCTCCCGTGAGGGTAATAACCCTAAACTACCTTAGAATTATGTCCCATTATGGCCTCAGTCAATGTGCAGACGTAAATCTGTGGCCAGGTTTGATATTTTCTGTTCCCAAGTGGTCCCCGTCCAATCTGACAGCAGGCAAGTTTTACTGCTCATCATAAGTTGGGTCTAGGAGGTCTTGAATACAAATGGACTCCGTGGTTATCTGATTTTTATTTGTGGAAGAGATGTGAAAGCCTCGTCGTTTGTCTTGAACCGGTCCGTCAAAAATACCTTGAGTTGTGTGGTCGTAATATGGGAACATCATTACTTTTGCAAAGCACTGTGTACCTTACCTTTCAGGAAAATACCAGACATTTTCTTATTTTATTTCTATGTGAATGCTCGTAGTGTAATAAAAAGTAAAGCAGACTCACCCTAGATTTAGGAGGGGCGGGGGACACCTGAGGAATAGTTAAGAGCAGACAGTAAAGAAAAGAAGGTTTGAGTTGGTGGGAGGCAAAGAAGACAAACGAAGACAAACAGCAGAGGCAAAGCGTGGTCGGGTAACTGTGCCTGGGAGTCTCTGAGGGTTGCTAGAGGTTGAGCTCGCTACTCACGATCGTGCGGAAGAAGTGGACCACGGCGTTCTCAGCTCCGCGTTTGCGTGGCGAGGTGGCAGACGCTTTCTGAGGGGCTGGAGAGAGAGCACCTCGGAAAGAACCCTGCGGAGACAAGCAGAGGAACGGCCTTGAACTCGCCTGGGGTGACATGTTGGCTGAGTAAAGGCACAGGCGCCGATTCTGGAGCGCCTGGGTGTGCCAGGCAACCCTCACTCATTTGTTTGCCAATGACCACGGCAACGACTCAAAGCACACGACAGCAGAAACATAATTTGGCACACATGGATACAGATGCAATAGGCAGATCTCTCACCTGAAAACTTGAGAATACATGAAATACATGAGAATGTTGCTTGTGTTGCATTTGTAGCTTGTCCTGTAGCTGAATACAAATTGCACGACAGACGTGTGTAAAGGGTTACGTACCTGGAATCCCTGAATTGGTTTGAAAGAAAATTGTAAAGATTAATAAACTGCTCGATATGAAGTGAGGAAGGTACAGAACGGTGGACTTAACTATCATCCGTTCCCTTTCTGCTTGCACTGGGTCAACAGGTGGTCCAACAGGTGCAAAGGTCACTTAAAAATGAAGAACTTCCACAATGAAGTATTCAGGTTTTTGTGTTTTCTTCTGCTAAATGTGGAACTATTTGGTTTTTACTTCTTAAGACGGCTTTGAGACTTCATGTCAGTCTACTTAGAATGGTTCTGAATGTCTTCTCTGTTTAAACTCAATTGAATTTACATCAATAAAAATGGGATCAAGCAATGCAATCATACAGATGGACTGAGTATATTTACAATTTGATGCTTATTATAACGCAAGGCAGTCAGATTCAGGTTGTAATGCTCAAGATCTTCATTTGTCTACTTTCACTAAGTTTGCAAACTGATATCAATTTTAAAGGATTGTAAGAAGCTCTGAATCTGGACATCAAAACTCAAACAAAAAAATGTTTTGAAGCTTTACTTTTCTCTTTGAAATTACACTTTTACACCCTTGCTTCCTCAATGCTCTAAAAATATAAACATTTATGACACAATATATTTTTCCTCCTCAAGAATGTAAATATAAACTTCAGCCTTCACCTTGCGCAACATTTGTGTGTGTGTGTGAGGAAATGTCAAGAATCTGCTGCAATACTCATTCTGACAGTTCTATATTTATTTTATGGAACTGCCAGAGCTGAAAAATAAATTTAGGCGTGTGGGAATGACAATCTTTCTCCTTATAGCAAAATATGAAAATATGTTTCTCTGACAGATTATGAATTCCTAAAAAGGCATAAAGGATCTTGGTCTGACTCAGTCTTCTCTCTGTCTTTCTTCTGGACGGGACACAAACGTCCCCGTGAGGCGTTGACGTTTTACTGTTACGACCTTTCCTGTTTAAACAACATCATTTTATTTGGGTTTTGGTGAGATGTAAATCTTGTTATAGCGAGAAAATTTCTCATGATCAAAAAATACTGCTGCTGAATTTATGTCCAAGCTCTCCATACAGTCTAAGTGTTAGGGGAACAAAAAGTGGAAAACAAAAGATACTGAAGGAAAGCGAATGAGGGAGTGAATTTAACATCAGGAAGTGAAAATAAATGAAAGTTGAAATCAAATTGCAATAGTTGGCTATTAAGAAAATTGAATTTCATTGGGTAAACGCCCAACGGATGCAGATCGCTCTATCTGGTCTAAAAAGAAAGGTGGAAAATATTATGAAAAACAACAAACTCCCCACTAAGTACATGATCTGACCAATTTTTATGTAAAAAGGATCAACATAGTCAAAGGTTTGAATCAAGTGAGTAAGTGGGGGTTGACCTCTAACCTGTTCTTTAGCATTGTGTATTGAACAGGCATATGAATACCCATAATTACGCATTTCTAATCATTCTTGAGTCGCTAAATAGTATATTTCATTAAATTGAGATAAGGAGTAGGATTAAATAAGTGTTCACTTCTTCCTACCTGTTTTCAAACAGAAAAGTAGAGGTAAGCCAATTATTTTTGTATGCACGTTTTCACTTGTACTAATGATCACTTGTTTTCTTGTTTTTCAAAAAACTGTTTGAAATAAGTAGAAATGAAATAAACCTACAGGTTACTAGATGAGACAAACAGAAAGCTGCTCTTTGACTGTAGAAATTTACTCTGACGTGTACTGTTAAGAAAATAAATTTAGAATATGCTAGTTTTAAAACCTAACATGTCTTGATTGAAATAGCCTAATTATAGTTTTAAAATTAGTAACTTATTCTGGCCTATTGACCTTTATGTTACCTGTAGTTACAGCAAATAGTTTGCTAAGATCTTTTGATCTGCCCTTTGTCTGTGTGGGAAAACAATCAGGAGAAGTTCCAGCTTCACCTTATTTGAAGAAATTAAAGACAAGAATACGCCTTTACTATAAAACTTTGTACACAGGAGTAACAAATCAGATTTTTCTTTTTGCAATTTCTCCAAAGATGTCTTTGCTTCTCTTTCTTTCTTTCTTTCTTTCTTTCTTTCTTTCTTTCTTTCTTTCTTTCTTTCTTTCTTTCTTTCTTTCTTTCTTTCTTTCTTTCTTTCTTTCCATCCGTCTCAAGTAAATGAATGTCTGTTTTAGTCTGTATGAATTGTCTGTGTTGTTGATGTCCTGTTATACTTTAAAATGTTAGAATAAACTCTGAAAATGTATGACGTGGAGCATTGACTGTCATCTCTGTGTGGCTTTTATTTCCACGCGTGGAATCATTGAATCCGGGAGCATAAGAGAATATAACAAGCCAGAAGTTAATGATTTTATTCTCTTAACAGTACTTTCCGTTGTCTTGGTCACGACAGAGGGACGTAAAACAAACGACAAAATTACTTTTAATACCCTGATAATGCTGAAAACTGGTGGCCACGGTGGCTCTGAATAGAATTTATTTCCATTCATTCATTGAAATCAGTAAGATTAATGACAGAGGAGTTCCACCCAGCTTACTGTCCAATACTTGGCCAGAACAGAAATGAATCAAATTAGTACCAGTGAACATGTTGAGAAGCCGCTCTCTTCCTGCTGATGGGTTGAACTTAACAAAGAGACCAATTATCATCAAGCTTCACACAAGTCGAAAGAAGAATTAAGCTTTCTGGTTGTCTGACTTTTATGTTTGGGTAAAAAAAATGGTGCAAGGATTAAGGGGGGGGGGGACTTTTTAACTCATGCAAACTTTACAGAAACATCAGATGTAACACACGGAAACCTTTCACCTCTTGTTACCTCGTGTATTTCTGTTTCCGACCGTCCTAATGGAGCAGGAAGGAACACGCGTGTGGATTTTCCCATAAATTCGTCCCAATGAGGTTTCAGCGGACGGACCTTTCTTTTCATGGACAAAAGCGAGTCTGTTCTATCTCCGGGTATTTTTGGACACCAGGGGAGGGTGAGGCCGGATTTAGTTTTTTGTGCGAGCTGAAGGTGAGTGCACAGCAAAATCAATGGAGTGTCCTCTGAAGTCCCGGATACCGGGAGTTTATTTGTAGCGAGTGTGTGTGTATGTGTGTGTTGAGGGTGGGTTATGATTCCCATCCATTACCTCACTGCTGGCTGACATCAAAGATGTTTAAGGTTGTAGAAAAAAAGTGAGGAACTTTAACCGCCATCACTGCTATACACATTATGACACGCGCACTCTGAAACCCGGTCTGCCTTTTATGGCTGTTTTGAATTTGGATCTAAGAGGATAGGAAATATAAAAGAGAAAGATGGAGAAGGGGGGAAAAACACCGTCATTCCTTGTTATTAGAACTATTTCAAATATTTCTTTGCCTTTGACGTTAGCGAGCGAATTCCGGCTCTGTTCCGCAGAGACCCCTTGATGATGCCATTTTTCCGTAAGTGCTCTTCTGCGTGTGTCTGCGTGAGTCTTCGCCTGGCTAGGTCCACACAAGCAGAAAATGATGTGGAATGGGAGACGTGAGGAGGAAGATCTCTGAGGAAACAGTGCCCGTCGTTCTTGGTTTTTAAGAAAGCGGAGAGAAGAAAGAAACAAGACATCAAATAGTCCCGGAGGAACCCCGCCCGAAAGCCGCCTCGTTTGAAAATCAGTCGTGCACCTTTGAAGTGAATAGCCGCGTGCTGCCTGCGAAGCAAAAACAACAGTTTGTTTTGGTCTCGAGCGTGTTCAGAAATTTAGATGGAAGCAAACAGAGAGTGACAGCAAGATGCGCCGTGGTATTTACAATGTTACAATATTTGGTGATGGTTTAATAAGTCACATAAAAGCGGAACTTCAAATCAAACAGGAAATGGCCGTCCGCCCAAACTGAAAGGCCGGACAAGTTGATAGGTATTTTTCGGATGATCTAAGGTTCTATTGTGCCTCAGCAGAATTTACTTGAGGACCCAGTCTGTCATTATAAGACTTTTATATTTTCTTTACAAAAAGATCAATCAAAAATGTTATTTCCTGGGTTACCTACTTAGAATCTGCTAAGTGTTTCCATACATTGTTAATTTAGCATTGTACATGTAGCAAAAATTTGCAGATTGACATTAAAATGACTAGTAATGTAACTGTGTGAGCTTCCTCTTAGTATATATGTATATATTTTTTCCAAATCGTTTTTATAAATATCAGGCAGTACCAATAGTGCAAATGCTCTTTTAAAATTTTTGCTTGGGAATACGTTTTCCTGCGTTTTTTCCTTTCAGATACTAAGCGAAGGGAAATGAGTTTCGACCCTCATTTAGTTCTAACCTTCCCACAACTACACCCACAACTTTATTTTTATCAAACTTATCTATGCAGAATTTTGTGGATATTGGTACGTTTCTTAAAGGGATATGTTTTTTTTTTGTTTTGTTTTTTAATTGTGTTTTGCATTGCATACTGTTAGCATTTAGCAACTTTTGTTGTTATGGTCTTTTTAGTAATCTAAAATGCTAAAATTCTCTTTTGGCCTCCTTTTACATCATTCATTTTCTTTGTAGCAACTATTTAATTTAATTTTTTTTCAGAAAAAGTTTGACCACACCCATCCCAATTAGTTGACAGATCCAATTGTTTCACTCACATCTTGTTAGCCACTTCTGCACAGTGAGTTTGGAAGGACATGAATCAGAATCCAGAATGGGGCATCCCGGCTATTTAATGATCTCCAAGCATCCGCAGTGAAGCTACAGGTCACTACCCGACTACGAGTCTGCTTTATTATGGATGATTTTTTAATATTTAATCCAAAGAATAGATGATGACATTTTGCTTCATACCAGTTCTCTCTGCTAGCTTCACTTCCTGAATACCTGCCAGGTTGGGATGTAATATTTAGCTAATGTTCCAAAACTTTGTGTGTAACCCTGAAATGCCAAACAGAAGACTTAATTGTTTTCAGACTTCAATTATTCACTCCCATCCTAACTTTCCCTTGTGGCTGTTTACTCTGGAGGAATAATACAACCGGGACGGCTTGTCTACTCCGACTCCTAATTGTGGGGCATTTAACATTTATCACAAGCTGCCTTCTGAAAAAGGAAAGAAGAATAAATTCTACTTGAGCTAGACTTTTTGTGCAACCCACCGCACACACACACACGCACGCATGTACGCACGCACGCACACACACACACACACAGAGAAATGTGCTGCAAAAATAACAATAAAGAAGTCATCCACAAATTTTGCAGATACATCTGTGTTTTAAAGGTTCAGTAATAAAGTTAAAATAGAACTGGACCTATAAACTTTTACATGCAAAGTAAACATAATTTTAAACCCTGATGACAGAACTTTTAATAGTTGCATTAATAACATCAATGCAGTTCAAAGTTATTGTACCAAAAAGAATGTGAGAATTTTGCTGCGTACCATCAGTCAGCTTAATCATTTTAATAAAATCTGCAGAAAAGGCAAAAGAAAATGAAAAATAAAACTTAAAAAAAAAATGTTTTTCAGACATTGGGGAGAAAATGCTTTCATGCTGTTCATTGAATTTGCTTTAGTTTAGTTTGCTTGTCTGATTAGTTAGACAAGTAAAAAGTCTCTCATTGTTTCAAAAAAATAAAGTTTCGAAACTGCAAAATATTTGCATTATAGCATTTCTTAAATGTGTTAATATAACGATAGAGTCATATTTATGACGCAGTCATATTTTCCCTCATACACATCATACTGGGAGAATCTCATGCCAGCCCACGCACATCATCCGTTCAATAATGGAGGACTCTCTTTTTGATTCATGCTACGTTAAATCACAGTCCCTCTCTCTCTCTCTCAAAAAAAAAAAGATTTACATTTTATTATATGGCATATAACTGAAACTCAGACAAAAAAAACACACTGCAGCCATAACAGCACTTTTGTTGGAAACTTGGACACTTCTGCTCTTTTCAAGTGTGACTGATAAAGCCGAGCAGGAATGGCAATTATTCAGCAGTATGTCTTTTTTTTTTTTTTTTTTTGCAGTTTGCATTTAATTTGCATTAAAATAGTTTTGAAATTCTTGCCTTTTTTGTCATTATGCAACAATAATTTCTTCTGCCACGATTGAGAGAATATGGATGTTTCTTGGTTCATTCCTTATGTACGAAATACTGAAGTGACCAATGACTTTTTATATGGGCAGACTTGCAGACTGCACCCATCTAAAAACCGATTGAACGTTGATTTGAAGTCTGTAAAAACTAATTTCTGATCCCTGACGTTTTGGGGGAAATCGTATCCCAGAATTTTTTTTGCTCTCTTTTGGCACACGAGCTCCGACTGCTTTCTCTCGTTTCCTGGCAATTTCATCTTTAGGCTCACACAAACAAGCCGAGGCAATCGCCCATTACCGAGCTCTATCAGAGTGAAGATAAACAGTATCTCGGCTTTCCATTACGCCCACTTTGATAACTCCTTTTATTTTGTGTGTGTGTGTGCTGTGAGGGATAGAATATATTTACACTCATAAAGTCTCAACTACAGGGATAGCAAAAGGCAAAAAATTGTCTCCAAACCAAAAGAAAAACAACAGCAGCAAATGGAAATTAGAGATGTTTTTTTTTTTTCTGACAAGTTGTTAGCGGGGCTGTTAATGATTTTTATCGTTCCTTTGCGATAAGAGAAAACAAAACACATCCAGGCGAGTGACAAAGAAAGTAAAAATAAAACAAAGAGAGGCGCCAGGGGTTGTTGTTAAAGAATTTTAATTAAGCAATTTTACCCAAACAGAAAAAAAAACAACAAAAAAACCCAAAACAAAACAAGATTATATCAGGAACAGATCATCGATCGCCACAGATACACACAGTTACATGACCCCAGAGCAGAGTTAGAAAGCGTTACAAAACAAAACAAAACCAAAAAAAAGCAGCTCACAGATTGGGTCGGAGACATTTTAACCTGAGGTGAACAAAGTGATGATGAGGGGTCGGTGGGGGGTCGTCCCCTCCCTCACCCAAGACACTGGGGTTAGATTACAGCATCACAGAACTGCGGGAGAGCTAAAAACAGCCTGACGGATGCAGGAATCAATCCTGGATTTCACTCTGTACCGTTCAACAAATTATGAATTGGGTTATTCAAAAGAAAAAAAAAATCCAGTTATTTCTCAGCCTTTCCTTTCTGCTTCAGTAACTTTAAAGTCCCGAACCCGTTGGCGTTTAGCGTCAGATGTCCCTGGAGACGCTTTACGTCCTGAAACTGGCTGTCTTCACTCATCTCGAGTGAAATATCTCTTAATAAAATAACTAAAAGTGGTGAAAAACACACACAAAAAAATAGGAGAAGAAACACCATGTATCCACGTGCAGAGGAATTAAATATCACTAAAAATCAACATGCAGATTTGCCATTTTGGTGACAAACACTGGTGCAACTTTCCTCACTAATACTGCAGCCTATAATGTCAAAGTGTGTGGTTATGGATGTGTTTGTGGTTCCACAAGAGAAAGTACCTGTCTTCTTGATTCAAACTTGTTGGAGAAGTAAATGTTTGCAGCAGGAAGACAGCGTGGCTATTTATTCCGTTTGCTAGAGGCAGCAGAAGTGGGCGAACCTGTCAGTGACTGAAGATTTAAGAACTTGAAGGCAAAACCTTGGTGAACGCAGCGCCGCCGATATGGATCAGTTTATTTGAAAAACTTTTATCGTTACAAACAGCAGCACGGCAAAAAGTAAGAACGTTTCCACAGCGGTACTGATGAGCTTTTTTCCCCTGAACGTCTCGAACCACAGCTGTCTCTTAAAATCTAAAAAAGAGCTATTTCCTGATCCTTACACAGCGAGGCGGTTCACTGCTAGCATAAGGCGTAGGAGGAATGCATATTTTCAAGCTGGTTTATCTGCAGCGCTCTGATTCGCCAGGTGAGGAAGCAGTTAGGCATGGGCCGGTCAAGCTGCCGCTCCGCCGGTTGGAATAAAACAATAAAAAAAAACAAAAAAAAAACGAATGAAGGCAACTTTTTGGTCACGATTACAGAAATGAAGAGAAATTCAGTTGTTTTGGGAGCAAAAAATCAAGGTCTGTGGGCGGAAAACGAAGGAGCCCCACCCATTTCTCCTGTAGGAGTAATGGGTTTAACTGTTTGGAGATTCACTTGGTTCATGACTTTAAAAAAAATCTTAAAATGAAAAGCTACGAGGGACTGATCTAAAGCAGGTGACAGCAGGCTGAGCAGCAAATATTCACTTCTTATACTCTTATTTCACTCTTTAAAAAAGCAAAATGTATATTATTTTTCGGCGTAACCGTGAAAACTTCTACAAGTGACATTTTAGAGGGTTTCGGCGCTCTATTTTTGTTTAAATCCATTAATTAAACTCAAAATGTAAACATTTTCATTATTCTTACTGTAATAATGACAAAAATATATTTTAAAGTAGATATTTTTATTTTGACTTAATGCTGTCCTGCAGTGAGAACCTCAAACCCGGCCCATGCCTAGAAGACGGTGTGTGATCAGAGAGAATATTTCTGCTAGCAGGATGTAACCTCCAGAGGGCACTGCTGAGTGCCCGGCCCACAGAGGGGGGCGGAGCCAGCAGGGCTGAGCAGACCTTTCGTAATGCCAAGCAGTCCATCATGTCTGGAAGCAGAACTGGCAGGGCGCTCCGTGTCAGGAGCCCACAAAGCATTTTTCTGTTTTAGCTCAACTTTTTTTTTTTTTGATAAACTGTCTAAAAAAAAAAAAGATTTGCATTTTCATTTTACTAGTCATTTAAGAAATAATCACAGACTCAAACACCCCGCGATTAGCTTGTTTGGATAAAATAAGTTAATCTTTTTTCTCCTCTTACTTTAAAGAATAATCTTTCAATATAATTTCACACACAAAAAAAGAAAAACACAGAGGGGTTATAAAAACTAACCGGCATAAATCACAATATAAATATATTTTTTGTTGATCGTTTTTCAAGCATAATGTAAGCACTGAGAAAAAGACATAAACAGCAGCAGCAGCAGAGGACCTCCCCAAAACAAAGTGATGAAATAATCCGACGGTAATCCGCTCGCGTCGCGTCTCAGCGACAAACATCCACTCCCAAGATTTAGGATTAACAAGCGAGGTACCTGAAGCAAAACCCAGCTGTGTGACAAATACTCTAATTTCACCTTAAAACCTCACAATTTCACAACAAGAAAATTGCTACAAGTGTCAGTACCATTTATGTAAAAGAAAAACTTTAAATGACACAAATCATATGGACTACATGGAATGTTAAAAAAGTCACTGCCCAGTGTCTGGTCAGCACACAACCGCAGGATAACGCCACGCTTTTGCTTCACCGACAGTAAAACCAACACAACAAAAGCATGTCGCGAGAAATTCTTACAGAAAGTGTCACACAATCCAAAGTAAAATAATTAAAAAGAGAATAAAAGAAAAACGTGGTTCTGGAAGTAAAATCAGCAAAAATAACCAACATACACAGGAGGGGGCCCCCCCCCAGGAGGTTGGGACCCCTGCCTCCTTTCCTCACCTTGCCCTTCCTTTTCTTGTCCCCTCCAAAGAACTTTCCTATCTGATCCAGGAGCCCGGGGTTCTTCTTTCTCCGGCCCAGCCCGAAGGCGGCCTGCGCGGAGCTGCTTGCAGATGCCATGGTTGTAGAAGCGCTTGACGGTTTATTCGTATTAGTCGAATCTATTTTTTGTTTTCGTCACTCTCTATAATAAGAGAGCAAAGCTCAAAAGAGTGTGGGGGAAGAAAAAAAAGAACCGAGAAAAAAGAAAGTAAAAGGAATGAGCAACCAAAATAAAAAAAATAAAAAAGTCAGCCTATTCTAAGTCCTGCTCGGGGCTCTCCGACCCGCACTCCGATGCCGCTCCGCTGTGCTCCTGGATGGTCTGCAGCTCGTCCGACTCCGAGGGTCGCTCTTTGAAGGTGTTGTCCTCGCGGCCCGGGGCATCTCGGGAGAAGAGGCGGACCAGGTGGGGGCGTGGCGTGGCGGCGTCAGGGTCAGCTGTGCTGGCCGGGCTCCAGGGCTGGCGGGGGCCCTCAGCGCCCGTGGAGTCAGTCACCGCCGGCTTCTCCGAGATGCAGCCATTGTTCTGCTTCGCATCTGCCTCGACCAGGCCTGCGCAGAAACAACAAGGGTCATCTATGGGCTCAGGCCCGCATGGCACACAACAAAACCCGGAGCGGCACAAAGGGACCCTTATTTTATTTGATTTTTTTAACATTGCGGGGCCCTTCCTGCTGCAGTGGAGACCAGAAGAGCTGATATTTGATTTTTTTTTTTTTTTAATCAGGAAAGACGCTCATCTTCTCAGCTGGTCAGAAGATGAGCAGCTGGTTGTCAATATGTTGCCTAGGCAACATATTGACAACCAGGGTTACATCTACTTAAGTAATTTTTTTTGGAAGAAATTATACATTTAGGAGTACCTTTTACTTTTATTAGAGTAATATTAATATGAAGTATTGCTACTTTTACTTGTGTAAAATTTCTGGATTCTCTGCCCACAAATTTGTTTTAACCATAAATTCACTCGACATATGCCTGCAGTGTTGTTCAAGTTTCAAAACTGTTATGTTGAAAGAAATTCATTTAGAATGAAAAAAAGTTTCTTGTCTGATTTTGTTATTTTGTATTTATGTGATTTATATGAATTATTTTCAATTTGGTCCTTAAAAAGCAGAATTTCCAAATATTTTGTTCTGTCTGATGACGNAANTNTAAAATATTAAACGGTTGATGTTTTGATCATTTACTCAGGACTTGAACAACCTTTTTACCAAATACATTTTCTTCTACTTGAGTAATTTCTTGGACGGCTACTTTGTACTTGTAAAAGTATATTGAAGTAGTGATGCACTTACATGAGAAAATCTTTTGGGGTTTCTACCCACCACTAACACATCCGCTCAAATTAAAACCACAAACTTGAATATAGGTTTGTAATAGAAACACAAAAGATTATAGAGCAGAAGTAAAAAGATATGTAGTTTTGACAGTTTTTTTCTCTAAAAAAAAAGCTCAAAAGTGTGGCATCCATTTGCTTTCACCCCTCTGTACTCTGATATCCCTAAAAACAGATGGACCTAAACTAAACTGAGGTCATTTAGCTGTCCTCCAAAGATGGTCATGATGAAATATCAATTAACATAACTCATTAAAACAGTATTTGCCATGCTCATCTTTCTGATTGGCTGATTGTCAAATCTATCAAGCTGCTTTCCTCCAAAGCTAGCATAGCAAGTGCTAAACAAACACGTTTCTGTCAAGACAAGACCGAAGGATTCATCCAGCAGCCCTGCAAAAAAATAAAAAATAACCCTAAGAACTCATGGCAAACTAAAATCAGAAGGAATGAAGCAGCATTTTTGCTACCCGAATGTTATAAATATTGAATAGTGGATGAAAGTGAGAAAGGAAAACACTGTTTGGGAGGAAAAGTTTGTTAGTGTTTCAGGTCAAAGTGTATTCATAAGTTATTCATTCAGCCCACTCAAAGTCGATACCTAAGGGGACTCTGGATCCAATATGACTGAACCCGAGCTACTTTGCAAAGAAGAATGTCGAAACTTTCAGCCTGTAGAGTCACAACCTGATAGAGACACACGGCTAAAGACTGGGACCTGAAATTGCAGCAAAATGTGGTTCTGCACAGTTCTGACTCATTGGGCTGAATACAAATGAATGCCACACAGTTCCGGATATTTATTTGTAAATTTTATTAAATAGTAAATTATTTCCCTCCAACTTAAACCCCCCACCCCCCAGCATATTTAGTGGTTTCCGTAGCACTTTAAAAAAGGAAACAGTCATTCCTGAAATGTCCACTTTTGACAGCCATCGGTCAATCTAGGGCAGCTCCCACAGCAGAGGACATCCAGTGCATGCCCATCCCTCCCTTCCAGCTCCGAGACAATGCACACACTGTACTGACAAGATATGGTGTAGCGCTACACGGGAAAATCTGCATGCTAATAGTGGCTGGGACACTGGTCTTTTGTCAGGGCTGCATAGTTATTGCAGAGAAACAAAGGCCCCAGTGTCACTAAAATAACTCCTATAAGTATGGATTTTCAGCCCGATGCACGGTGACACTTATCTGATTTGGGAGCAGAGAGCTCAGAAGCTGCTGCCCGCGAGCAGAGGAAGGATTTAGTTCTACAGTGCATGGGATGTTACAATAGGATATTAGCTCATTTACTTGGAATAACGTCTAAAATCGCATGTCAAGTGAAATGTAATCCCCGAGTCACATCTGAAGGCTGATCCAGATTATTAAGAAGGAGACTGGAATTTGGTGTTAGAGGAGATTAACCCAGAGGAGATGCCGTTTTTCACCTCCATGCCTCATTTACAATGACAGTTTATAGAAGAAGTTCAAGGTGCTCTTTTAATATGTCTGCTAGGAAAAAATATAGGGAAGGATAAGCCAGTGGGGCTTTTTATCTGAATAATGTTGCTTTTTAGCAGGTCACAAGGTCACAATGTTTCTTGTTAAAGTCAAGCGTGTCTCACAAAGTGGTATCTACTTGATGGTAGCATGCAACCTCTTATTTTGAAGTAAGAAAGGAGGTAGTTTTTGTGTTGGCTGGATGGAAACAGTTGCAACAGTGTTGAAGATCCTTCTACCACTTATTAAACTCAGAGGTCATTTTGGATGCTCGGTAAAAAGAGAGAAACGCTAAAAACAATGGCTAACCGTTAGCTGCTAACAATACTAAAGTTGGCTAGCTTGCTCATCTGTGCTCACCCAGGGGCTTTTACACTATTTTTTAATGAGACTGGACTGCATTTAATAATCTCTAGATGAAAAAGTAAAACCTTTAGAAAGGGTGAATTTTTGCATTATGCTGCCGCCCTTAAAATAAAAATATGGCTAGTCAAATTTAAACTGGAATATTTTTTTTTGTTTGTGAAACTTATTTGCTTGCTTTCCCACAAGAGTTTCTAAAATCTCAGTTTGTTTCTGTACCTAAACTCCTGTATCGTTTCATCTGATGAGCTGAATGCAAACACCAAATATACCTTTATGTGCATTAATTAGAAGAGTATAAACAATCTTAGCTCCACCACAGAGGCAAACATTAAAAGTTTTCCTTATCTCTGCTTTTGGGGGTACAGCTAATCAGCACCAAACAAAATGAATGGTGCTCCTGTTTGGCAAATACCAGTCAGCTGAATTTTCTTCAGATCATTATAGATATGCGCAACAAAAAAAAAAGTTTGTGAATAATTTGGATAAAAATGTGCGAATCCTCGTGTGAAAACGTCACGTCGTCTTTTCATCAACATTCTCCTCATCGCTTTGGTCAAACTGCATTTTGTCTGACCAGAAAATTAGATTTCTAAGCACCTGGCTTGTCCGTGTGAGGAGTCGAGCTTAATGATACTACTTTACACCTCCAAAGAAAATTATAATCGATACTGTCGAGGAACTCGGGATAATTCTTCCCTTAAATGTTCTCCTCTAAAGAGTTGATGCTCCCAATGCCTGAGTCACTAGTGACTAATCACTCAAAAAAACACACACACACGCACGCACACAAAGAAAAAAAAAAAACAACAAATAAACAAAAAAAAGCTCAACAAGGTGGTGATGTGTTTTCCAATATCTCTCTCAGGAGTTTGTTAGCAGCCAGCATTACCTGCCAATCACTTTAGGGAAATCTGGGCTGGTGATTTCAAAGAGGCTCATTAAACAGAACTGATTGTTAGCAGTGTTGAATGCATCAGTGACATTTACTCTGGGACGACCGCGGAATCAGCCAAACAGACCGCGTCGATTGTTTGACGTGCTTTTAAATAGAGCTGTCTGAAAACTTTAAAGAGTTCTTTGATGATCCTTTTTCTGCTCATCGGGGACGAAGTGGAGGAACGTCGGAGAAACATTACAGCTCGTATCGGTGTCTGTCTGAACCACATAATGATTTTGTTCTGGATCTTTCTGAACAAAACCCTCATGAGCTCCAGAGGAAAAAGGAAAAAGAAAAAAAAAAACAAACACTAACCCACAAAATTATTCACCTGAAATTATCGGTGTAGATGAACAAAGAGGTTCTGTTCCCAAGCTGTTCTCACAGCGACTCTTATTCTAACCTGACTAGAGGAATAAATAAGAGAGCTCTTGTTTTTCTACCCTTCAGTGGCCTGCCCATGAGGCCTCTTAAATTTCCATCATCCATCATGTTGTTGCTCTCTTTCGTCAGCCCGCTGGTGCTGCCATCCACCTCTGGAATACCAATAAAACACAAGCCGAAGACGGAGAAACGTCCCGCCGAGGAATCAGTCTGTAATGGTTCGGCCTGGCGCTGAGCAGGTGAGAACAGGTTGCGTTTAGCCACACAAAAGGTCACGTTCGTAACCTTTACAGACTGGTTACGAACCAGTCTGGTTACGATGCATGCAATTGATTAAAGGTGCGCTCGCATCCGAACAAGTTACCTTTACACGTGTCGGGGAGTGACATAACGGTTGATCCCTGCCTCGGTAATGGCTGAGCGAATTAGATTGCCATTTTAGGTAACAAAATATTTCTTTTACGAAACCACAAGATTACCGTCTGCCGAGCACTGATGGAGGACAGCAGATTAAAAAGTGAAAAATAGCCGTTATTAAGGCACTTGGATTGATTGTTTTGCCGAGTGTCTCCCAAGACTCCTGGCATTATTTTCCACATTCTGTCATGTGAATCCTTCAACAGCTTGAATACATTATGCTCAGTGCTTACCCGGAGGATTTAGCCTGGCGAGTGTGGTGGACAAAGACAAACGCTT